CCCCCCCCCGAATCACCTGCCGCCATTGCAACGATTAAAAATGTAAACGGCGACAAACACGTCCACCCCAACGACACCGTTTCCATTTTTAATCCTTGCGTGGCGGCAATTTCAAACTGACCTCAGAAAAAAAACATTAAGAAAATCAATCTGACACGTCATTTTCCTGACAGTTTATTTGTTTTTGACATTAACATTTTGACACTTTGATAGCGTGAGCGGATGCAAGTAGGCCGGTGTGTAGGGCCTATCTCCACAGGCCAAAAGTACACTCTAAATCTTTTACAAAGAATTCTTTCGTATAAAGCAAAGAATTCCGTCCAACCGTACTACACAGGAAATTTCCTTGTATTACACAAAAGTTTTCTTTGAATGACACAGAATTTTTTTTGTATTACACCGCGGTTGCACAAAATTCTTTGTAATACAAGTTGTGTACAAGCATTTTCTCTGTAAGGATTTAAGAGTGTATGCACGCAACGCACACGCAGGGGCAGGGGGCAGGGGGCGGTTGACGGGCCGTCACCACTGATGGTTATTGCTAGCGCTACAGCAAGAGCGGGGCGCGGCCAAAAAATTGAGGGGAGGGGGCGGCAGGGGTGGTCACAGAGGGGGCCACGGGGCCCACGCACGAGTCCCAATCTCATCGACCTGGTGCGGTGACCAGAAGTGTTATGTTTTTCCGCACTTCACAGCCAGACCGTTATCGCTCCTCCCACCCACACTCCTTCAAAGAAGAAAGCACTCAGGCAAACATCACTTAGGGTTTGAAAATCTCATCCAAAGTTTCATCGAAAATTTCCAAACACTTCCCGAAAATTTAAAGGAAAGCTTTCAAAGTCTGGGATATATTCCGTTTTCCCCGGAAATTTTCCATTTTTTTCCGGAAATTTTCATGAAACCTTCCAGGGCTTCCAACCCTAACATTACTTGTGCATGCCGTTTTTTTTTTATTGCGTGTGTTCGTATTTTTTAAAAAATAATAAATTCTCTAGTGCAGCGATCTTTTGTTGCTGACCCGCCGCGGCCGGTTCGAAAGCCGGTCGACGTCGACGCAGGTGGCGTTTGGCGGGAGCACGCTAAAGGCGCGGTCAGCGTCGGCGTGGTGGGCGTGGCCGGGCGTGCACTGCTTGGACACCGCACCTGGCCTGCCCGCAACCAAAGCCCTCCCCCCCTCCCCCCGCGTTGTTGCTAGCCGCGAGGGCATGGAAAGTGGGGGGGGGGAGGGTTACCCAGCATATCTTGGGCGATCTCCTTCAAACACACACGCGGAGCGCACAATACACAACCATATACTCGCAAACTATAGACACTCGTAAAAATAGATTAGAGAGCTCTCGAGCCGCTGGGGGAGAAGGCGGGGAGAGGGGGCTCCCAGGGACCTCAGCCCAGCCAACCCCGGCAGCGGACGGGCAGTTATCGCCATGCGTAACCACGGCCACTAATTGTAAGTGCAAAGTTGGGTGGGTCGCCGTCGGGTGGGCTGCCTACCTGTCACGAAGGCTCAAAGCAGGCTATTTTTTAGGTAGTCCCGGGGAGACTGTACTCACCAGAAGGAAACGTGTCCGCTCCTTTTTGTTTTAACGAAAACGGGGAAAGTAGGGCGATGATTGGAAACAACGAGCGTCATTGTGCGGTAGGTGGTTGGGCCACACTGGGCACAAGGCGTGGTAGGCGTAGTATCTTGAGAGAATGGCTGGGAAAGGTATTATGGCGCCTGGCGGGCTCGTGCGTGGAATGGAGGGTGCTCAAGCAGGTCCTCGGACGCGAACTGTCGTGATTATGAATAGCAAACGCAAGGCCGAAAATACGATCGATATATCGAACAAGCTTGCGCGCGATGATACGAAAGCCAACGCGGCAGGCCAATCGACCGGCATTTCTCACATCAGACCGCCCGCGGGGAACAACCAAGGGAAATTAGGGACCGCGGTCTAATGACGACACCAAGTGGCTGAGTGAACCCCGCGCACTTTTCTACTATTACTATACGACATTCCTACGTCCTGGTTGCCCAACTCGCTCGCGGCCAGGGGTCCATAACTTAACATTTAAGTACTGCTCTTTAAAACGTTGTGGTAACTGTTACAGTTTTAAATTTTACCTTCTGAGAGACAAACTTAAGCGTGAAGTTAAAGACTTTTTAATTTTATGTCGGTCCGAAGTCTGAAAAAATACTCAAGAATGTTTTTCGACAGCCCATAACTTGAACTTTGATTTGAATTCTCTCATAGTCACGTTGTGTAACGAACGCATCATGCACTACTTGTGGCGTGAAGTTACGGATCCCCCGCTCTCGGCCCGTGAGGCGCCGTGGTCAGCGGCGATAGACAAGCCCTCCCGCACGAGTGTATGCGGTACACAAAGTAGAAAAGTGCGCTGCGGGCCCAGTCGGCCACCCTGGTACAACAAATGTATTCTGCTCTAGCGCAACCCACGCTCCTCCAAGACCTCTGCGAGTCCGACAGTCCGACTGATG